CAAACGTGCACAACAAAAATAGCCGGACCAACTAATGCATATTTACTATAAAGTAAAAAACAAAAAAAAAAAAAAAAAACAAAAAAAAAAAAATTGTAAAGCAGATTCTTTATAATTCGCTATTAATATTCAAATTTAAATTTTAGAACAAAATAATATACTGTATATTGAAATTTATTTATATAATACTCGTTACTATACTAATTAATACTATAAATATTTTATTCCTATCTTCCAAGACCGATTCTGCAGTGTTTTTTATTCTAGCAACCAATACAACTAGCATTCTTCACTTCAATGATTAATAAATTCCCGCCACTCTAATTACACTAACAATTTCCTACGTATTCCTAATAAATTTATTTGTTTGTTTTTTCGATTTAATTTTATTTAGCTTTTTGAACAAATTTTATTCGTCCTTTTGATTCAATTTTATTTGCCCTTTTAATTCAATTTCATTCGTCTTTTTAGTCTAATTCTATAAATATTTCTTGTCTCAACAGAATTTGATAATAAATTTTTTTTTTTTTTTGGTATTAAGGTGACCTCTACAGCCTAAAAGACTTTTTATTAAGTAAAGATTAACATTATATAGTTACAACGAGGATATATCAAGCCACATGTATACCTTTTGAGTGCCTAATTTAAGTAGTTCGCCCGAAGGTTCTACACTATCTGCCATACCTGTACTCTAACTAGGGGGGTACCTATTTAAACTCTCTGGTTACAACCGCCAGTTAATTCCACCTAACCCAGATGTAACTTACTATTCAGAAGTAGATTTTGTGACACCTTTAGATTTCACACTCACTTTAGGACTTACTAACCCATATTGAGCTAGTCTATCCACAAGGTAAACCTAACAAAGTAGTTCATGTCTCACACATGTTTTTACCTACATGTTCGGTAACTTCTTATCTAACTAGTACATGTTGTACTGCCGCTACTGGGTTTGTATTTCAAGCCAACTTTTGGGGTGCTGCCGTAACCTGATCTGTATCTCAAGCACAACCTTCCTAATTAGTCACCTATTATGTATTCACTACTCTTGTAAGATTTCCAACAACCCTGATACCCACATTTGGAACCATCTCCTTACCCGGATTCTTTATTGGTCACTTCTTTACTTCCAGCCAGTGACCTGGACAGGTTGGTCTGCCCAGGCTTTAGGTGCCTGAAAGACACTCTCCTCTTGGTTCATACTTTTGGAGCATATGCCCTTTTCCTCCAGTGCATCAGCCTGGTGGTTCAGCTTGTGTATCTCCTCACTTAAGGACCTGATCACTCAGTTAGAATTTGATAATAAATGCTATATATAGATATATATATTTTTTAGCTTTTTTTTTTGGGTTTTTTTTTGAGTTATTTTTCTTATTTTAGTTTTAAGCTATACTTTCTTCGTCTTTCCAAACTTTAAACATTTATAGTTGTCTTTTCGGCTCAGATTTCAGTGTTCTATTTTAGCTAATTACTGAATCCATGTTCGTACAAGTATATTTATTTTAATAAAAAAGTAAGTTCTGATTCAAAAAATGATAATGCTTCTAAAGAGAAAATAAAAAGTAGGTCTAAAGGCTATTTTGCTGTCTCATCATCAGCAGGATATTTTTTTCGTTCTCCAAAACCAAAATTTATATCCCAAATACTTATTAGCAAAATTTCATCATCTTGGTTTTCAGATTGGCTTTTCTGTTCTCCAAGCTCAATCTATTCATTAATCATATGTTCCCACTGTTGCTCTTCTTTTGTAATTAAATCTTCATCTTCAAAATTCTGATTTGTCCAATTGCTAGATTTAGTTGCTTCTTTAATATTACCAGACTCAGTATTAGACCCAGGAGCTATCTTCTCAATATTATTAAGCTCAGTAATTGCTTTGTCAATATTATTTTCACTTTCGTTGTCACTTATTTGGTAATCCAAGTCAGAGATAGTTAATTCTTCAAAGGATTCACCATCTAATAATATAGGTGCTGCAATATATAACCGGCAAATACAATTATCATATTCTTTTGAATTTTTGATTTTGCGAGTATGAAGAATATTGCTTTGAATTTTGCTCATCGCCAAGACCTTATCTGGCTATAATATTAATTAGTATAGATAAAAGTAAATATAAATAATATTTATAATTAATATTTTAGTAACATGTAATTTTAAAGAATAAAAATAATTTATTAAATGTCTTTATCTAAACAAATTTGTTTACGATTGCTAAACAGTATAAATCAAACTTTAAGCTGATTCTGATGACTAGTATATAATAATCTCATAGATAACCACAAATGTTTTACAGATATAGAGTTAACACAGATACTATGAATACAAATTGCTACTTGAGCTAATTCTAGGCCTACTCCTTTAGTTGATTTCTAAAAATCCACTAAATTGCCACCAAAATACACGAATGACTCAGTATTATATAGATTAATTTCTTGTTTATATTGTATTAATTCAGATAAAATAGAGATAGGTTTAGAATTAAACTATGCCTCATAATAATACTTAAGCTATTGCCCAATATGAGTTCAGGATAAATTTGCAATTGTAGTATCGAGTTTGGTAAGTTTATATTAAAGATGTAGTGCAAAATAATGGCTGCTTCCATTCATTTCAACATGATTCAATTCGCCCTTTCATTCTTTCTCCAAATTCAATATTTTGATAGCATTCAAACATTTTCATTATATATCCAAAACAATAAAGAACTTCATATAATCGGGCAGTATCTTTTTGCAATTTATTTAAAAAACCACAAAGAGGATATAAAAGTTCTTGTAAATCAGCCAAAATTATCCAAAATTAAGTATCATTTATAATATCTGCAATATTATCTGAAAGTTTTCGAGTACCATTATGCAGTATTGATCGATTATCTGCTAGCATAGATAGAATGCTATTGGTTCGAGTTACATTATCACAATTTTCATTAAATTTAGCAGAGAGAAACTAATTATTAATTTTATACAATTTACAATTTTAGCTATATATCAGTCGCACGATTTGTTACACTATTTTGCTTGTAAATTTTTATATATATAAAATTATAAAAAAAATATATAAAATTACTATAA